CTCGAAAATGAGCATCAGTAGGTGGCCGATCGTCAAAGTTGTTATTCAGCTTAAGTCATTTCAGAAACCCAAAGTGGGGGTAAAAACTTCAGATGAAGAAGTAATCCTGCGCTGGTCCTCCTGAGGGAGGTCCATGAAAAAAAATGTTGTCGGGTAAAAACCTTACTAGGGAAAGTGGATGTATGAAGTCCCCCTCTGGCCATTTCAGAATGCCTTTAAAATAACACGGCACCACTTCTGGCAGGTATAGTGTTTTGCTTTTTAGTTTTTTTTACCCTGTCGAATTCCATTGTGCTCATCCAGCAGACCACACATTAACATTAAAAACAAATCTCAAACTTTTAAACTTTGCTGTCGGCTATTGACTACACTCTAAAATCCATGAGGTAAAATACATAATCTTTCGCTGCATGTGTGACATGATTGCCAGTTTTAGTGAGAAATAAAATTCATGCAACCATTTCAATGAGGCAGTTACCTCCTATACAATATGTTGAATTATTTCCAACTCACAATGCTGCACCCAATGAGCAAATGAGACTGTGTAGCTTGTTTTGCAAGGTCACCGCTGCCGTTTTCCATTAAAGAATTCGGGCCGCACTGGGCAGGAGAATTTAATTCACTCTATTTTAGTTTTGCATTTGTTCTAAAGTGAAACAGATATTAATGGGAATGTCCGAGAGCTATAATTCTGTGATTATAGAAAAGAGCTGCAGTCTTTTTAAGAACTGCCATGTGACTCAGATTATAGTCGGTGCATCACTCCCTCCCACTCCTTCCTTTCTCCATTTCACCCCTGCAATAACCCCTCCTCCCTCTGAAGGCATTTTCTGTTTTCCTTCTCTTACTCTATCTGCAATCCACCTGCTTCCAGCTGTGGGAATCTGGCCCGGATTTCCCTCCTCAGATGACAGGATAAGCAGGTCAGATATCCTTGATGGCTGTCACACTATTGAGTCCCCTGGCATTGACAAACACAAACCGCTACATTCTCTCAACATTTTACAAACACAGTAGGTGATATCCAGCAAGGAGTTCACTTTGATTGGCATAGCTTTACTGTTTCCAACATAATCCTGCTTAAACTTAACCATACACAGCACATGTAGAGAGAATAAGTCTCTCTTTTTCCTCAAATCTTTTCTGAAACATTTTCTCTACAAAAAAAAAAAAGAAAAATACAAAAAAAAAAAAAAAACATCCTGGACTTGTACTCTTGATAGGTTGAAGCCACAGAAAGCTAGCCAAAAAGCCAAAGCCCAGCTGAGCCAACAGACACCCAGCTGCTGCCTTTAGTACAGACAACTGGCCTGTCTCTCAAGCACTACAGAAACAGCCTACACCTGCCCTCCTTATGGGCAGCAACGTCTTTGAATCAAGGACCTACGATCAAAGATTTGTCTGTTGGTGTGAGTAACACCAGAGTTTGAAAGAGTTTGTGTGCTGTGTGGGTGTGTCTTGAATCTTCCTAAAAGAGACTGACAGTATCTTCAGTGGTTCTCAACACATCCTTCCTAGCTGCTGCATAGAATAACCCAGAGGGCACACACACACACGCGTGCGCGCACACACACACACTTCACCCTCTGCCATGTGCCGTTTTCAAAACCAACATGAGTGTGCCTAAGAGTGTTTCCTGTGACAAGCTGCATGAGTGAGCGTCCACAAAGCCCAACATTTGACCCCACCGTCTGTCTGCACCAGACACGTGTCATAATGCAGTAAATACCCACATTTTTAACCTAATCCTTTTTTGTACATGTTCTACTTATAATCTAAAAGAGCTCTTTCTTGTTCTACCTGATGGAATAAACGATGAGGGTGGCAACTGAGAAACCTTCTAAAAAGTGTATCCACAAAAGATTGGCTAACAGATTCATAAACTCAAGGTTTAACTCCTTGTCAATGACACCAGATATTAGCAGCTCCCTGCTACGTTAATCACTTGGATCTTACTATGGTGAGCTTAGAACACAGAACAAAAACATCATCAGGTCTCTTTTTTCTCCGTCGCTTGGTTCTCTAATTGCCTCTCCCTCCTTCAGTGGTGTAAATGGAGATGTGTAATCATCAAAGCAAAATAGAGGCTGTTCTTGGCCCGCTGTGTAACTCAAATTAACACAGCCTCCTCAATGCAAATGCATTTTGTGCTCATTCCAGCCAAAACACACCAGTCTAAAGGCTGAGGGGACCGCTTCGGTCTACGTTACTATTCATTTTTGCGTGCTCTACCAAAGAAAATTACCAAATGCCAAAAGCACAGAATACAGGAAACCCTTATCGTAGTGAATAAAAGTAATGCTGACTAGATTTCACGCCGATATAATTCAATAATTGATTCATTTCCTATTTTAAGAGTACCACATTTTTCAAATAGCAGTTTACAGTCATACCCTTGTCCTTTCTAATTGGCTCAATGTACTCAGCACGCATAAATGAGCCTATGGATTTCTAATGTGTTATTCTAAAAACCAGTGGGTAGAAAAAACAGCAAAGCATATTTTCTTTTGTGTATAAAACCTGCAATGAATACACTCTGCCATCACACTAAAGTATATTTGCGTAACAAAAAAAAGTCTTCATCAAAATTTTAATTCATTATCTCCACTGCATACAAAATATGTTTGTAGTTTACAGTTTCTGTAGGATAGGCATTATGACATTGAAAACAAACATGATCAAGCATACTAATACACTGACACTTACTGAGGTGTAGAATTATGTGATAGCAACACAGCTGACAGCAGGTGTGGACATTTCAGATGCTCAGGTACAGTGTGGGTGTGAACCACTAGTTCTGCAGCAGCTGATGAAGATCCATCACACAACATGCAGAGTGCTGACATCATTTGTTCTGACTCCCACAAAAACAAATATTGATATGACATAGAAAGTGTGCTCATTTTTTTATTTCAGGATGTGACGCATTGAGATGCATCTTTGGGAGTAGTAACAATTATTAACAACTGAACTGACAAAACTGGATCGTGACACCAGTAAGGATTGTATGGAAACGATGCCAACACACCCACAAATCTTTCTGTTGTTCCAGTTGGACTAAACAGACGACTTTACATTGCTGATGACCAATACTAGTGTCATGATGGTTCATTGTCTCTCATCAGGTGGGAGTTGATATGGGGATGCTGATTTATGGGCTATAGAGAAGGCCTACATAGTGGAGGAAAAGACACAGGTACAACATATCTATTGTTCTTTTCCCCAAATGAAATACTCAAATCCACGTGTTAATACATGTAATATGATATGTAGAAGATATCACTTTCAGAATAAATAGGAATTTCTGCTTTTCAACACTAAAAATGAAGTTTGACATAAATCTTGTGCAATGTAGAGGGGTAAACAAACACCCATTGGCCTCAGCTGCCACTTTTTCCCATTAAAATCAGAGGAAAATTAGTGCTGCTGTTAATCTACTACATACAATCCTATTGTGTCATCTACGGAGAGTAACAAATTCTTTACTCACACACAGCTAGAGAGAATGTGGCCTTAAAGATGAAGGTTGTTATTTTTACCAGCTCACTGGAACATGACATACATTTCTGAGACATCAGTTGAAGTTGTGAGTACAATACAGCAGAGCGTGTTATGTAAATAACCGTTGCCTCATAGGATTGCAAACAGAGTTGTCTTCCAGGAAGAACGTAGTACGTGCAAGTCTTAATGACCAGTAAAAACTAATGCTTCCTTACACATTTCCTACATCGTAGGAAAGAAACTACAACTGGAACAAAGTTATTTGGTAACACATTAACTATTATGTAGATACAATTCCAAGCTATAGTCCACTAGAATGTCTCAGATCAAGGTGTGACCGCAGCCATGGCGTACAGTACAGCATAACGTCATCAGCTGACATGATGGAGCCGGTTTCGTCTAACTGGATGAACCGCACAGACTGGAATTTCACTACCAGCGTTGGACAAACGCTGCACATTTCTGGTTTGTTAACACAAAAACGAAAAGAAACCATAAAAGAATGTAGAATCGTGTCGTTACAGCTTGCGAGAACAAGTTAGTCTGCGACGATATCCTCAGTACTCTGATTTAATTTGAGGATTTTTTTCAGACAGCACGATCATATGGCAATATAGCTCGCCATGGTAATGATAAAACCAATCCAAGCACATCACACATCACTTAAACAATTATGATATCCTCCAAAGATTGTTTTTTTATAAACATTTTATGTGTAATATCTTAATGTAAGTAGCTTTTTAAGCCTTCATAGATTATCACCCAGCTGTTTGCAAAATGATGATTGAACAGAAAAAGAAGAAAAGGGGGATGCCCCCAAACTCATTCATTCAATTGGGCATCCAATACAGACAAACTTTGTGATAAAGATCTAACTTTTGGAAACCTATCCTTTGTTGTCTGTTGTTTTAGTGAGTTTACTGGTGAACGGCATTACTGGGGACATAAAATGTTCTGTGGGGTGAGCTGCTATGGGGTGTGCACAGCCTGCTGTAGTCTGAGGTTTGTTTGAAGTAAAAAAAAAAAAGACAGTCCCCAAGAGGAATTGCTGCCTTAGAGGCTCAGCAACTTTTCATATCCATGCGGATTTCCTGTCCCTGCTCTAATAAAACCAGGCCTTCATGTATCAACAGGTAGTGGTCCCACAACTGCTATATGCACTGAAGTTTGAGACGTATGACAGCTCTTCGACTGTTAGAAAATAAAAAACCTGGAGACAATGCAGATGGTTGTAGGCAACGTAAGCAGGTGCTGGTTTCCGCGTAAAACCAAAACTACGCTCTCTCACACACACACACACAGACACACACAAAAAAAAACATTACAACCAGCGTTACGACCATTATATTCTCAGCACCAATAGTCTCTGAAGTTATCCTGATAAGTTACAGCGAAATGAACCCCTTTCCCCACCGCATCTGCTCTTAGGCCTTTCACATACATTACATAAGCCAGCACCGAAAGGTCCAGCCTTGAAATTTATCCGGCCAGGTACCCACCTTATTTGAAGCTTTGGAGGACATTTTAAACTGCTATTCCGCTTTAGTAGTAGCCGGTTTAAAGTTTCTCCCGTCTTGGCTTTGATAATCACTTGGACGAGTGCGCTATTTTTCTTCCAGTGTAATTCTCGCCCAGCTGCCGCCACGCCGGGCTACGTTGTTATTTTATTTCATCCAGGACGACGGGAAACATGTCACGAAAAACCGTGTGGAAAGTCCAAAGTTCATTATCTTATCTTCGCCGCCTGAAATGCTTACGTTAGTCCGGGCAGATACGAAGTCATGGAAGAAAGCCGAGGCCAATAAAACAAGAAAGTCTGGCTCCTTTTGCTTTGGCTTTCGTCGCTAACCTCTGGATGAAAAGTTGGGCAGAGTAGGCATCACTGGGACGGTGTGCTGCAATGGCTAAGGCAGGCTGAGTAAACCTCTCCCTGCTCTCAGCTCTGTGAGCAACTGCCGTGTCGGGTAGGAGCAGGCTGTACCATTGTACTGAAATAGGGGTATCAGATAACACCAATTTGCAGGACACCGTCCATTTCACCACAATTCTAACATTAAATGCCATTTGTTTGCATAAAAATAGATCATTCTTGATGCTGTCTTTATTGCTGTATTCAACCTACGCTCCTCATTTGTGTTAGTATCGCTACCAATAAAGTTCTCCCCCCCGTGTGATTTCTTGGAATAAACAGCCTGGGATACAATAAGGAGAAGCGACACCGCTGTCCCTGTTGATGCTGAATGCTCACTTTCCTTTAGATAAGACGGTGAAATATACGTTTCCCAAACACTGCAGCGGCTTTTTATGTTTAATTTTTGTCACATAATTGCAAGCCTTATTTCATTTTTAAAATCAATATCATCCCACTGCGAGCTAGGTGTAAAACGGGCACCCAAAGCCCGCTATTAGCACAAAAGATCGTGTGCAGAATTTGTAGAAAAGGTTTTATGCATAAGATATCCATCGAGACTTATTCTGTTACTATCCCTGTTCATATGGGTGTTTGCGGTTAATTTAAGAGAGAGTCTTCTTTAAAAAGCATTTTTCATAACAGAAAAAAAGCCTGCCAGTGTTAGTGGTTGATAAGTCACCTCACAGGAAACCACAAAAGCCATGCAGGCAACTTCTTATGACTTCCTAAACCAAACCCCCACCCACAGGATGCAACAATCTCAGCTTGCATTGTTCCACAATTTCGTTCTGTTTCCGGGACACAACAAAACCCGAGCAATGTTAAAATGTGCCACAGGATAAAATGCAAAATGATGAAGTGGCGTGGCAATATTAAAGTTTTAGGCATCTGCTGTTGGAAATATGTGTAACTGAGATCACATGAAGCCAGAGACACACCCAGCCTTTTCCAAACAAACTGAGCAATCACATTCGCCCGATCTAGCTCCCCTAATGATTACTTCCTCTGTGTCTTTCCTCTTCAACAGTGGAGGAGGGTTTGGTGACAGTGTAGGTGGTCTAAGGACTTAATTCCAAACAGACAATCTTACAAGGCAAGAAATACCACTGGCAAAGAGTAGCAGACATGTCTTGAGGGTGGCAAGCACAAGATGACCTCCACAAAGGCTAGTCCATGCCATCAAAAGGATAAAGGCTGTGGGTCTCTAAAACTTGCAGCCTTATCTCCACCGGGGAATCATCGAATAATATTAGAAATATAACTAGCAGAAAGACAGACACGGACAGTTTTTTGCCCCAAGAGTTCACCACAGCTTCATGCAATCAAGCACACAAAAATGAATACATAAAATATACAAAAGATACATAAAACCGATAGAATCTAAAAGAATAATACATACAAGTATTGATGCAAGTCGCTCACTCCTTCTGAATGTCCTTAGACGCCTGTCCGGGTCGATAAGTGTCGATAGCAGGATGTTTAACATATTTACCGCCCGGGTGTCAGCTAACGGTAACTTATATTTTTAAGAAATCCCAATGATGAGCTTGGAGATATTGCAAAATCGTCTTTAAAAATAAACTACATGGAGGTCCTTCCCTTGCTGCACACTACTCAGTCACGTCCAAAGCTGTGATGCCCTCTCAGATGTTCTTATTGAGAGGAGTGAGAAATTAGTGACACTCCAATGTGATCAAAGCTACCTTTGTCCTCTAATTTTGCCTCCCTATGCCCATGTCCCTCTCTCTCTCATTTCCCTTACTCACACACACACACACACACACACACACACACACAAACACACTGCTCTTCTGGACAACAGGCAGCTTCAAAGCTCAGGTGTGCTCATGGAAGAGTGGGCACGTGGAAAACAAAGGTGAACATGCAGGCCCACATTTGGATGGAACACATCACAAGGTTCACTCAACCCAGCCTTTCCTGCAGGGAAAAGGCTAATGTAGAGTGAAATGGGCTAATGTGCACATCCTAAAAATGTGAGGCTGACCGCCGATGCACGATGGAGAGCTCATGTAAGCAAACACACGCAGTGGCATGATGATAAATAAAGAGGAAAGTGATGCTTGGTGTGAAGCAGTTGCCTCAAACAGGAGAAAACTGCAAGGCAGAGGCCGTTTCACTCCTCGCATCTGTACTGAGTTAGGTGTCAGTGTGAGACCGAGTGATCCCCCAGTGCCCTGTTGACTCAGGCCTGACCTGCAGATCCAGCAGAGGCTCTTTGTTTCTTCAGACTAATTAAAAACTTCTGCAGACTTAAGACCAACTTGAGCTGTTATATCAATCTCTGTCACAAACCTGAGGCCTCACACAAGAGAAACTATACCTAATAGTGTTACTTTGAATGGAAAGTATTCTTACCAAACGTATTTGTGGATTCTTTCAGAGAAACATCATAAATGGTAGGAATGATGGCATTTAAACTGAATAAATAGTTATCATCAGCTCAGCGTTATTACAAATTTGGCGCAAGAGACCAACTGTTTGTGACCAGATTAGTGTCATGTGACTGGATTAGCAAATGCACCCCTGACCCTCTGGGTTCATGTTGTACTTTCCGTAGAGGGAAGTTAAAAACTAAACACCTATCTAGTTTCAGAATTCTGTGAAAAGGCACACATATATGTAATAAAAACATGTTATTGGAGGTCAGATTTATCAATTTACAAAACAATGCAAATTATATTAGTCCTCATTTCCACCTCCCCACACAATGGAACAAGTATATAAATATATAAAAAAAGATATAAATAAATCAAAGTTCCAATAACGGGAATCAACATTAATTCAATCTATAGCATAACAAGTAGTGAAAAGCTTACAAATAACATGTTACCCCATAACTTGGTACAAATAAACTGGAATTTTACTGGAAAAAAAAATGAGTGTGGAGCGTGGACACGTTCCACCTTATAATAAGGGCGAATCTAAACCTTTAGCCTTCCACTAAATCGTTCAGTTGTTTCCAGTTCCTCTGATCAATCACAGCCTCTCGTGATATACAGTATTGTGAGAGGTTTCCACCAGCAGCGTTCAGGTGAAAAAACAAGCACATGCATTTGGTTAAGTGGAATAAAATAATTCCTCAATGCTAAAAGAAAAGGCAGCTGAGTTATTAATGCTGCCCGTTCCCTTCATTCATTGCATCCAGCAGCACAAAAGACAGCTTGTGTGAGAACGTTCTGAAGTGCGGTTATTTTAAGAGACACTTAACTCCGCATACTTCTTAGAATAAAAAAATAATAAAAATTGGAGTACTAAATTTACCGTGATGGGTCAGTCACGGATAGAAGGGAACCAGAATACTTTAAATCTTCTGAAGACATTTACTCCAAGAGGCAGCCTGTGATCAACAGACCAAGAAAATCTGAAGTTTTTTCTTCCTCTTCCCTTTTTCTTGCTCTTTCTCTTTGAAACAGTCAAGGGATGCTGAGCCTTTTATAGCCAGAGAGAACAAACTATGCTGCAGTGAACCTGGATGAACTTCTGTCTGCCTCTCAGTTATATCTCACATATCTGAACAAGCTGCAGTGCAGCATCACAGACGGATTAGAAAAGGCTATCTGTACACACAACATATGACAATATACATCTATTCTCTCGATTCAACTTGATTCAATACTGAATTAATTTTTCAAGGAATTGATTTTTTGTGAAGTGTGCCTTAAACCCAATGACACTGCTTACATCTTCTAAAGGTGAGGGAAAAAATAGCCATTATATCATATCTTCCATCCACATGACAACAACACTATTTGCTGCAAAATGAGGTTGTAAATTGCAATAGTGCCAAATCCCAAGGTAAAATCCACAACACACATTGTGTGTGTGTGTGTGTGTGTGGGTGGGGGGGTGCCTGCGTGCATGTTTTTGTGTTCATGTATGAGGGAGGGAATGCAGTTTTCATGTCAATACATCATGAACAGTTCAACCTTTTTCCTTCATTGTTGCAACAGTGTGCAACCCAAACATAAATTTAAGCGGCGTTTTGTTGCCTCCCAGTTCTGGTTGTTTACGAGGATAAATGTGTCACAATGTGTCTGTGCTGTGCCAGCATGTACAGTCTGTACTCCCCAAAGTTTCTTATCTTAGTAGATTCAGAATCCTTTTTTTTTTTTTTCTTCCCAAAATTGATGCTCCATTTTCAAAAACTGATAAACAAGGTGATAAAAACAGGCACAAAATAATGTTTCAAGCATGAAGGACCTTGGAATATACAGCTGTACGTATACAGAGATGGAAAAAATGTAACAGAAACGTGTTGGATACCGCTCTCTCAGGCAGCACTTACATGTGATTTTTATCATCCACTTACACTGAGCTACAGCAGAGTGACAGGTGCATGCATTAGGCTGCTGACACACTATAGGAGTTCTCCAAATAACTAGGCTAACTGCAGGTGGAGGCGATTCAGCAGTGCAGGGCGACAGCGAGATGAGCAATGGCTTGAATCTAATGCAAAATATGACTGACTCGTGAATATTCTTTCTCTGTTCTGCGCTGCTTTAGACCCCGCAGATGAGTTTGAAAAGTTTGAATCTGACCTAAATTTGAAGCGCCCCGCGTAAACAGTGCAGCGGTAGCGGCTCATAAAAA